GCACTAGTTTGCTTTTCTCCCTTAATTTCTATCTGGGAAGATAACATTGGGCATCATCTTTAAACCTACTTCACAAGTCCAAACGTGCCCCTAGTTACACACACACAGACAAGGATGTTTCATGCCTGGCAATGTGAGCCCTGTGAAGGCACCAGATTTGGAAGAATACCTTTTCCTTGGGCAGGTATGAAAATTTTAAAAAATACATGATTATCAACATATCAAAAACCTTGGGGAAGTTGCTGTAGCTACCACTAAAACAAAGCCAACCAGGAAAAATCTTTAAAATCCCGTATGTGAATTATATTGGGCAGAATTGCTCTTGACCACATCCTAGCTGAGCAAGTTGGGGTGTGCTCTGTTGTTAATATCTCATCGTACTTGGGTAAAACACCTCTGGAAAATAGAACTAAATAAAGTCCAGGGACAAATCAAATGAGTAAATCCAGTGCCCACTGACACCTCAAGGCTATTTAATCAACTAACTGCCCTCATGCTTTGCCTCTTGGTTCAAATCGGTTCTTTACATTGAACTTAACATTTTGTTATTGTAAAGTATTTGCTATTGTAAAACCATTTGTTTCACGTCTTGATATTATAAAAACACGGTTCTGATAACAGTTGCTCAGTGTTTTTGAAATGATCACTGAGGCCTATGAGACTTTATATAAAAAAACCTCAAGAAACTACAGAAGATATCGGCCCTTAAAGGAACATGGCGGCAAAGGCTTCCTCTGTGCTGGTGCTCTTGTTGCTCCAATGTAGCCAAAAGTTCCTGAGAACAAAAAAAACACTTTCCCTTCCACGGGGAACATGACAAACCAAGAATCAGTTTTCCTGGAAACGAGAGACCTACAGTGGCATGACATCCCCAAAATGAGTCATCCTAACAGGGGAGGGCCGAGGATAATTTAATGACAGGATCAGTGCAGCCTTCCAGTGACTTGTCAGCGATGCTTTGAAGGAAAGATGGTGATCAAAGTGGGAGAAATGTCAAAAAAATATTAAACAGAACCACTTTAAGATGGAGCAGGAGCTGCCATTCCAGAGGAACTGCTTTGCACATCTTATGCCTCAAACGTTTGAAATGTTAAAAGAGGACAAAGGTAATAGGAAAGCAGTTATTCTGACTGCTGACCTAAAAGTTTTAATTATTTAGAATTAGCATCACTGTGTTATGTTATCTGCACCAATAGAAACGCCTTCCTTCTGCTGATGTAATTGTTCCCCTTCCCTTTCTCCTAACTACCCATCGCCTTAGTTTCCTAACTAGGACATTATTGGGTCTTGTCTGATCAGTGCTTCCCAAATAACACTTTTTTTTAATTTTTATTTCAAATGCTTTTTGCTTCTCACTTTGAAAGCCTTTTTTATTTGTAGGTTCACACACCCCTAAAAAGAGGTGGACAAATCATAAGTGTGCAGTGGATTTCCACAAAGTGAACGTTGGGACAAACATCACCCATGTCAAGGAGCATTTCTAGCACCCAGGGAACCCTATTCAAAATGCCGCCTGCTGCTGAGATACGGGACATCCAGAGAATGAGACCAGGATTCGTAACAAGGACGAAAAGTAATATTCCTCTATAGCAGTGGTTCTCAACCTGTGGGTCGCGACCCCTTTGGGGGTTGAACCCTTTCACAGTGGTCACCGGGTACTCGTATGTGGGCGTATCTGCATGTGGGCCTCAAGACGGATAGAGGAGCAGTGTCTCGGTTCCTAAGACCTCGAAAATATGTGTTTTCCGATAGCCTTAGGCAACCCTGTGAAAGGTTGAGAACCGCTGCTCAACAAATGAAACAAATGAACACCCAAAAGATGGGGGCTTTGGGCCATGCCCAGGCCTGAGCCTAGGCTGACCCGGCCACATGAAGCCCTCACTAACAAGACCAGACCTGGGTGATATTCGAGTCCCTGTGATCACAGGTCCTGGTGGGATAGGGTTCTACTGAAGGGACAAGCACAAAGGGGCAGAGAGGTGACTAAACCGAGGAGTGACCATGTGACAGCCCACGATGCACTGAGCACTGACTGGGCTCAGGCCGTGTCCACGCTCGGTCCTCACAGCCTCTCCCTTCTCCACCTGCAACAGACTCAGCACAGCCAGCACACGGATTCTAGAAGGTTCTCAGTGCTTCCATTTATTTCCTCTCAAAATTTAGAATTTTTGCCTTCAATGGCAAGAACTGAAAAAACAGATTCACATACAGATTCTTATTTCAAAAGGAAGTAAGAAGTTGCCGGTCAGAGTAACATGAAGTGAAAGCGGGGATGGAAACAGCCTCTGCTAGAACAGGACAGTGGGTCAGGGAAGAGGCTCAGTGCAGGGACGGGGCGTGGAGGGCAGGGGGCGGGCAGTCTCCCCCCTCCTCACATGATGCTGAGAGGAACACAGACACATTCAGATGCCCTTTGCAGAAAGAGAGGTCAGAGGTTCCTGAAGTCACAAAGTGGGGGCATCAATACATCTTGCATCACTCAGTCGTCCACAAGTCAGCTGTCTCACGCTGTAAAAGAAAATCATGAACAAATTCAGGTTAGTGGCTGGAAGTGGTGACATTCTCAACAGCCCACCACATGCTCAAAATGTCCCAAAGAATCCCCATTACCCAGTCCTGTCCCCTCTGCCCCAAACTCTCCCCACTTCAGGCCCTCCAGGGTCTCACCTTTAGAAGCTGAGAGAGACACATCAGAGCCCTGGGCACTGTCACCGCCTGGGGGAGAACAAAACAGGATGTGGTCAGAGCTCACAACAGATGTGGCGAAAGGAGGAATTATGGGGGTGGGTGGGCTCCCCCAAGGGCTTCCATCTACAGTATCCCAAGGGTCTCAGGTATCACCCCCCTCCACACTCACTTGCAGCCTTAGCGTAGCTCCCTCCTTTTCCACCTGTGGGAAGAAAACATCACGTGAGAAGCCAGGAAGGAGGCAGGGCCATGAGGTCCTAAAGGAACCCCCTGGTCCTGGACCCCGAGAAGTTTCCAGAACTGTGACCACAGACCCACAGCAGGATCAGGAAACCT